CAGAACCATGTATATTACACTAGTTCTTCTGTTACACATCTGTCATACCTGTTCAAATGCACCTTGGTTTCTCTGCCCTTTCTATTTCCTTTTTTTGATGCAGCCCAAATTAAATGATTTATGTTACTTTTGCGTGAGCTTAAGATTGATGTAATTTGGAATATTGCCCGTTATTTGCTTTCCCCTTACACTCAAAGTGTGGTTGTTTTCACTTAATTAGCAAATGTTTATTGAACACATTTCAAAATAAAATAATTTGAAGCAATTGAAACATGGGAACTGCAGGAATATGAGAGAAGGAAAGCTTTTAGCTGATAAAGAAAGAATGAGCAAGATCTAAATAGGCTCAGCAGAGCGGCAGGGGGCGCCTGGACGAGGGAACCGTTCTGGAGGCCGAGGGAAGGGCATCCGTCCTCTAGGGGCCGGACTCATGGCTGCCATTCAAATCCTGAGAAATTTGCTGTTCTGAACTTGCAGCTCATCTTCTGTACAATGGAAATATAACTTGCTCATTAGATTATTTTATTGTTTCCTAAGGCTGCTGTAACAGATTACCGCAAACCCAGTGGCTTAAAAAACACACATGTAATCTTTAACATGGAGGTGAAAAATTTCACTGGGTTGAAATCAAGGTGTGTTGGCAGGGTCACACTCTTTCTGAGGCTTTTGGGGGGAACCTGTTCCTTGTCTCTTCCAGCTTCTGTGGCTGCATCTTTCCTTGTCTTGTGGCCACATCACTTGAGTCTCTGCCTCGGTGGTCACACTGCCTGTATACCTCTTCTGTTTGTGTCAGATCGCCTTCTGTCTCTGTTTTATAAAGACACCGTGATTGAATCTAGGGCCCACCTGGGTGCTTCCGGATAATCTTCTTTCAATATCTTTAAGTTAGCAGACATCTGTAAAGACTTTGCCATATAAGGTAATATTTACCAGTTCTAGAGATTAGGATCTGATGTCTTTGGGCCATTTTTCAAACTACTGCAAAAATTAGAAGAATTAAATGTAGTAATGAAAAAGGTCTCAGATTGAGACTTGCAGAGATACAACTTCCTTTATTTCTATAACTTGAATTAGTTTTTGATTCTTTCCTGCATTCTTAATGGCAGACAGTTTGATTTTCTATTATTTGTTTGCTTTATGGATTGTTGTCAGTCTTGTTGGGGTAAATAATAAATTCAGGTAACTGTATGCTGTTTCCTTAGTGGTAGAGAGAGGCAAGAGATACAAAGGAAAAAAGAAACATAGGTTGGTAACACAAACAAGCAAGCATCTTGCCCTTATATGTTGGAATGTTCTCCCATTGTAGTTGCAAAGAATATAGAGTTCTTAGCTTATAGTGTGTTTAATAGTGTGTCCTGTGTTTCATAAGCCTGAGAATAAGAGCTGGGTTTGTGTAGGAAGTAGACAAAAGTAAAGATAGAAAGATTGTCAGGGATGCTGACATGTCAGTATCTCAGACTGCTGGACCGTCCCTCAGCCTACTTCCTACTTCCTTATGGTCTCCAGAACTCACGAATGGCAGCACAGTCCTCCTAAGAGCTGAGGCAGGGAACCTCAGTGTCTTCCATAGCTACCCTCTCTCTTAACATCGCTTAGCCAGTTTGTCAGCAAAGCCTGTTGGCTCGGCCTTCGGAATCTATCAGATTCTGCCTCCTTACATGTCTGTCCACTGCCATCGCTCTAAACCAGGGTGCATCCTCTCTCTGGATAATCGCAGGATTCTATGAAGTGGTCTTCCTGCTTCCACTCTTAAGCCTTTCAAAATCAGTTCTCCGCGCAGCAGCCCATGTGACCCAGTGATAACGTGAGTCAGGTCCTGTCATGTTTCTGTTCAGAATGATGTCCCACCTACCTCGGAGGAAAGCCCAAACCCTTCCCGTGAACTGCAGGGCTTCATCCAGCCCCGCCCAAGGCCCCACCCTACGTCTCTCCTCTTCTCTTCTCTCCCCTTTGCTTGCTGAGCCGCAGCCACACCAACCTCCTTGCCGAACTGCCCACACGCCAACTTACTTCCGCCTCAAGGGCTTTGTTTTGTCCCTCCTCTAGGACGCTGCTGGGCTCCCCCGCCCTCTTCTCCTTTGGGTCTTTATTCAGGCATCTCCTTCTCAGCGAGGTCCCCTGCCCGGGCGAGCTGTCGGGATGGATCCCTCGTGCCCTCCCCACTCCCGCTGCCCTGGTCTCCTGGTCTCCGTGGGGTTTGTCATTGCCTTTTGGGATTTGCATTTGATTTATTGAATGAACACTCCATGCAGCAGTGATTTTGACTAACGTATTACAGACTTCCAAGCCCCAAAAGGAATGTCGGACACTTGGAAGGCCTCCCATAAAGAGTTGTGGAATGGGTGGCTGGATGAAGAAGTTATAATGGCCAAACTGCAAAGTAGGAAGTAGGCAAGCTTTCTGAGGAAGGTTCAGATTGATGCAGATGTTTTATGAGGTTTACTATAGTATCAGTGTCCAGGCTGGATTAGAAAAATAAGGAACTAGAGGTTGGGAGACTAGTTAAGATAAGGTGAAGCTCTAAACTGGACTGGTGCTAGTGGGAGTGGGTCGGGGCTTATTGGTTGTATGAGAGACTCTGAGAAGAAAAATCCCTGATATCTGGAGATCCCGAATGGAGGGTATTGGAGTGGATGTTCAGAATGGTGTAGTGCAGATAGGAGAATTTAGGGAAAAGGAGTTTGAGAGCACAAAGGAAGATGACTTCGTTTCATTTCCATTTTTCTTAAATTTTGGCACAATGTACCTAAATAAAATTGACCATTTTATTCATTTTTAAGGATATAGTTTACTGTCATCATATACATTCATAATATTGTGCAGCCGCTATCCATCACCACCATCCATGTCTGGAACATTTTTATCTCCCCACGCTGACACTCTGAACCCGTTAAACAATAACTCCTTATTCTCACCCTAGTCCCTGGCAACCCCCACCCTACTTTCTGTCTCTGTAATCTGTCTATTCTAGGTATCTCATGCTAATGGAGTCATGTAATATCTGTTCTTTTGTGTGTCTTATTTTACATGACATAATATCATGTGGTAGCATGTGCCGGAATTTCATTCCTTTTTATGGCTAAATATGTCTCCACTACATTTTGTTTATCTGTTCATTTGTTGATGGGCCTTAGGATGTTTCCACCTTTTGGCTACTGTGAATGAACATTGGTGAACAAATATCTGTTCCAGTTCTTGCTTCTTTTGGTCATAAACTCAGAAGCCAAGTTGCTGCGGTTGCTGTATTTTGAAGAACTGCCATGCTGACTTTGGTTTTAGACGACCTGTTTTTGAGGCGGTGGGAAGTCTAGCAGTCAGCACTGGAGTGTGAGTGAGAGCAGCTGTAGCTGGAGATTTCACTTCAGGGAATTTGACTGATGGGACGGCTGAAGAGGAGTAAATTAGTTTAGAGAAAAGGGGAGAAAAGAGTTGAGCCACAGACTGCATCTTAGGAGGGAGAAGGAGCTATGGAGCTCGTCAAGGAGGCAGAAAAGAACAATCAGAGTTAGGAGCAGAGCTATGGAGCTCGTCAAGGAGGCAGAAAAGAACAATCAGAGTTAGGAGCAGAACCTGGAGTGTTTATACACACTTAGCTCAAACTCATCCATATTCATTGAGCTCTCTTACAAGAGCTTCCTTTCAGATGAATAAGCTTCTGTTTAAGGATGACATTACTGTAAGGGTTCGGGTTTTGGAGGTCACAGATCACTACTGAGTGGTGAATTTCTGAGGCATAGATACTTTTCAAAAAGGTCCTAGAAGCACCTAAAGAAAGCAGGATTTCCCTATTCCTTATTTGGCTCTTCTCCCTTTACTGTTTTTCACAGTAATTTCACAGTTATTTTCCTTTTACCTTTTATTGAACTATGACATACCTTAAGGGAACCACCCCTATGCAGACAGCTCAGTGAATGCTCAGATATTACATATGTCTGAATATCCAACACCCAGATCAGGAAACAGTATTTCCCCCACTCAGTGGTTTCCCCTCAGGCCCCCCTCACTCACCCGCTGTTTCCATTATCTTCGTTCCTGACATCATAGGTTTATTTTACCTGTGTTGAACCTTATATAAGTAGAAGCATGTAATGCTATGTACTCTTTGTGTCTGACTTCCTTCAGTTAATATTGTTTGTAAAATTCATCCATACGGTTGATTGCATGTTGTGTATGTTCCACTGTGTGCTTGTATACAATTTATTTATTCATCCTCATGTTGATAGGCCTATTGGTAGCTTCCAGTTTGGGGCTATCATGAGTAGTACTGTGGACATCACATTTTCTTATTAAAATGGGAATTTTGCATACTGTAGTCACCTCCTTAAAATTGTCATTGCTCATTGCATTGAAGTACCTTTCCTCCTCAGCGTCTTCCCACCCTACCTAATTATTTTTATTATTCATACAAAATATACATGCCTGAGCATTTGTTTTGAAAGTATAAAGTGACATAAGAAATTAGGTTTCTTAAAAAAGTGTATGTACTTACATTAAAATTTTTCTCTTAAAGCATGTATTTTAATTTTTCTCAAGTATCCAGATTATGTATCTTAAATGCATATTGAACCTGTCAAAATTCTTCATCTCTTAACAGGGTGAATTGTTCAACCTTGAGGCAGATATTTTAATTTTGGCATAGTGATAAGTTGGAGAAAAAGAACAGCTCCCATATTCTTAATGCAGATTTGTTATCAAACTTATAATTCACATAGAAATAAAATGAGATTGAGAATTAGCAAAAAGTACATTTTATGTCATTTTTTGCTCCATGTTACAGTCTGCTTTGGTATAAAAATCAACATTACTAATTCAAAATTGGTGAAAATTATATCAATCTGGCTACTTCAGAACTGAGTTGAATTTTGCTGTGTTTAATAAAAATACATACATAATATATTTTATGTATTTGTATGGATATATATATATATATAATTTCTATCTACTTGTAGAAGACCTATCCATCCATCTGTTGACATTCTTACTGAAACATTTTTTTACAGAAAGAACAATAGAAGACCATGAGCTGGTGATTGAAGTGCTGTCTAACTGGGGAATGGAAGAAAATAAGCTATACTTTAGAAAAAATTATGCCAAATATGAGTTCTTTAAAAACCCAATGGTAAGTGAAATCTCCATTAATAGTTATGGAAAATAAGTGAACTAGTTTAATGTTATTTTATGTGAAGAAAAGAGTCACTATAAATAAAATACAATTCCTTATTTGATAAGTTGTAGGTAAGAATTCTGATCCTTTAAATCTATAGTCACATTTCTTCTTATGCTAACAATGATTAGTCATCATAAGCAGAGAGGTCCAGATACATGGTTTTGGGAAACTATTCCTTCTTTTTCTTGCCTTTTAAGGGAACAAAAACTATACCATTGATTTGGGGAATGAGTTATTAGACATCCTCAATTGGTTCCAAAATATTACACTTCCAACACTTTTCACAGAATTTAGGAAATTTAAATAAGAAGATTTCTAAAAAACAGATTGATAATGGTTGGGAGTGTTTTGAGGTTGACATGAATCTTGCTGTTCTAAATTATTTGTTTTCAGTTCAGTAATTACTAGGCATAGTAGAAATAAGATAAAGACCAGTGCATTATCTAGTAAATACTACTTTTATTGTAGTTCTCTTTAAAAGAAAATAAATGTATGTCACATTTTAATGAAGACTAGGGATCTGGAGAAGTCAGAATAGCCTGTGGGCTCATTATTTTAAATTGTTTTTGTCTCTCTGCTGTACCATATTTTTACACTTAGTTTTGGATAATTGGATTAAAAGAATCCTTTATGAAAAATATATGATACACACCATAATAGAATGTTTTCAAACCCTGAAAGACCTCTTACATTCTCTTTTATTTGAACCTATTAATAGAAACATAATGGGATGATCTTTGACAAAGAACAGTCCTAATAAAAATTAAGTAGAATTCTTGTTGTGATTCTTCATTAAGAGCAAGAACTTAAAAAGTCATATTTAAAGACATATGGTTTAGTGCTCATTTTTAGTTTCATAGGTATTTTTTTATTTAAACAAGGCTGTACTTTCCTTTTGTAGACCTAGAACAGTGAATCTCAGGCTGGGATCGGGGGGCGATTTGACAGGGTCTGGAGGCATTTTTGGTTGTCATAATGGGGTTTGGAGAGGTGGGAAGGGCTGCTAGTAGGCAGAGGCCAGTATGGATGCTACACATGCTGTGATGCACAGGACAGTCCCCGCAATACAGTATTACTAGGCCAAATGTTAATAGAGCTACTGTCCTAGAGGACGGTTAGTAGTATATTTTTTCTCAAACTTGTCTACTTATAAAAATGACCTGGGAGACTGAGAAAGTGCTTGTTAAATATAGGATCCAGGACTTACCCAGACTCACTGATTTAAACGCTCAAGGAATAAGGCTTGGAATTCCTCTTTTAAACAACGGCTGCCAGTGAATTTTCTGATTACCCTATCTTAAGTCCTGGCTCCTCTACACTTGGGCTGTGCCCTTGGGTACGTCCTTCCCTACGAGAAGATGGACTTGCCTGCTAGAGTAGTTGCAGGACTCAGACAAGAGAGGTGGGAGCAGGCCCACTGTCAGCCTGAGGGCCGTGTTCTGTAATCTGAGGTCTGCAGAACTCTGCCTGCCGCGGGGCATGGTGAGGGTGTTTGCTGATCTTTGGGCCCTACCCTACTGTCTCATTAAGAGACCTGAAGGTAGAGCCAGGGTCTGGCATTTTTAAAAGCACTTTGGGTGAATTTTCCACACACTGATTTAAAGAACTTTTTTTAGGTTACTATGTTGGTCATAAATGAATCTTTCCTAGCATGGGTTTTGGGGTAATGTAACCTCCATCTTTTCGTCCAGTATTTTTTTCCAGAGCATATGGTGTCTTTTGCAACTGAAACCAATGGTGAAGTATCCCCCACACAGATTTTGCAGGTAAAATATATTTTCGTTAAAATATATAAGTAATAGCATAATAAAGGTAAACGTTAAGGTCTATATTTATACGTGTCCAGAGTTTGAAATGCTATCCCTTGAATGATTAATTTTTGCTGGAGGTAAAACTAAGAAGAAAAGAAAAGAATTGGAAAGAAAAGGAAAATAAAATTGAAGAATTCATTAAGCCAATAAAGCTCCCTAGTAATGTTATTCTTCCCAATTTTGGCCAAATGTCAAATGATTTTAAGCATTTAAAAAACGTGTATAATGAAAGGAAACTTGCAGAAGTTGCCTCTGTTATGTGTTTAAAGATGATGGTAGTCTTGAAAAATCAAAATTCCCAGTAAATTATAGACATTTTACTAATAGATATTTAGCATTAACTTTTATAACAAATGCCCTCAATCCTATTTGTGATAAAATATTTAAGCAATTAAACAAAAGAAAAATATATAGAATATGTCTGTTTCATATGCTAACATTTACAGTAACTATGCTGGAAATACTTGACTGTAATTGTGAAATATCTTAGCTGAATTAAGACTGTAGTTCTTTTAGTTAAAAATCTCCTTAGTTTTGCATTTGTTGGGCTCATTTCTTCCAAAATGGCAGTGGCTTTAGGTGATCATTTTCCAAAACATTGTCATTACAAAAAGAATGATTTCAGTTATTTTATTTTTGATAGACTAGTAGATTTCACATCAGAGGCTTTACAGTGTACAGGTTACTGTTGAGCAATGTCTGCATAATGGTGGCTGGCTGATCTAAGGCCCGGGCATCCCCAGCCCACTCGATATTCTCTGATCTGTAATGAAGAAAACTTTTAATATTTCCAGTATAGATATTACTCTAAATATATTGGTATTTAAATACATTGATAAACATACTGGACATCACAGATTTGTTTTCCATGGGCTTTTTAGTACATGATATTTCATTTTTGTGCTTCAAAATATTTTAGAAATACGAATAGTCTAAACAGATTTCCCTAAAAGATACTATATGCTACTGAGTTTTCAGACACCCCATCAGAATCAGGGTGACTGGCAGCAGTGCCTCAGGACACCAGCTCTCAGTGCTTCAACTCTGTATTACGACAGGGTGTATGGTTGGAGTTTTTCTTCTGCCTCCTTTCCAAAATTCTCCTATAGTACAGTTATATCACTTTAATGTTAAATTAAATTACAAAAACAAGAAAAAGCATAGCTTTGGAATCAGGTGGCCCCGCATGTGCCCCTGACCTCTTCTCTCCACTGAGGCAATGTTTCCACTTTTTAAAACGTTTCTTCTTTTTCTAGGGTGACCTCTGTGACTCCCTTTTTAAAATTTAATTGGTTTGGTTTAATAACTTGGAAAGCACTCAAACTAAAAAACCTACTGGCCTGTTTTGCATGTCAATTAATTAATATCTGTAGCTCATTAAATTAAAAAAATTTTAGTAATGTACTTAAAAAAACACAAATATCTACTATCGTATCAACATGTCCCTGAGTAGCCTTTTAAACTATGCTGCATTGTTTTAGCTATTAATTTCTCTTACAGTTACTCCACTTTGCATTTGTTTGTTAGGAATTCCTATTTTCCTCTTTTAGTGAGACACTAATGCATTTCCACTGACTTATTCAAGTTGCTGAGCACAGCCACTCAGAGCATTTCTTTTCAGTGTCATTTTCCTGACCAACACATGCCCACTGTCTCAGTTCATTATTACCGTGTAACAAACTATTCCAATATCCAGTTGAGGATCCCCTTCTAAGGTGGCTCTTCCCTACATGGCCTCTCTCTGCCCACACGGCGGCTCATGCCCCAGGGCTTTTCCAGTTGCACTGGGCTTCTCACCACATAGCCACCTCAGGGCAGTCACATTTCTTAAGACAGCTAGCTCTCAAGAGTTAGTTAGAACTGGCTGATTGTCACGTCTGCCATACTCTATTGATTAGTGCAGTATTTAGCCCTGCCCAGACCACCTCTTTATAGTTCAGTGGCAAGATCACGTTGCAGAACAACAATTGTGTGGGATGGAAGATGTTGCCGTTCTGTTTGGAAACACACCCTGCCATGCCCACCAACAGTGGAGAACCGTAGAGGACAAAGAGATGCTTCACCCTCATTTAGGAGGTGAACTTGGCTCAACTTTGTAATAACTGAAAAACTGAAATCAGGATTGTGGTCTTACGTATACCATGATGAAGCTGAAGTTGGTGGGTTCTCAGGAACGTCATAGCTAAGGATGGAAAGCAGCAGGACTTAACCCCATAAATGAAGTCCCACCTTTTAAATGGGCAGTCAAATAGCTCATGATTTTGGTGTTTGGCTCAGTGCTAATCAATCTGGATGTATATATTGTGAACGTGTTTTCATTTGGAACTTGCCTCAGTTTATCAAAAGATGGATTAATTTTCTGTTGTACCTATATTGTCATTTCTGTAGTGGTATGTAAATGGTATTGACACTGTTAGATTTTGCATGATTACTAATGCAATGCTTAACATGATTACTAATAAGGCCACAGTATCATTGATTCAAAAGCATAATGAGAATGTCTAATTTTTCTTACAGATGTTTCTGAGTTCAAGCACATACCCTGAAATCCATGGCTTCTTACATGCAAAAGAGCAGGGAAAGAAGTCCTGGAAAAAGATTTACTTCCTTCTAAGAAGATCTGGTTTATATTTTTCTACTAAAGGAACATCAAAGGTATTTGAAACATGCATGATAGAATATGAATCATACACAAATTTTAAGTTAAAATAGGTTTGACTTTATTACTTGATCTTAAGAGTTGATAACTTTTTAATTCTGAACCCTTGCCATAGTCTGTTGGAACACTATTCAGCTTTATTTCCCACTAGTTTCAGCATACATTCTTTGATGGAATCTAGTTCTTATTTCAGGACTGCATACCTTGCTCATTTTGTCCCCACTATGAATTCACCCCCTTTCTCCTTAATGTAGGTTGCAGACTTGGGGGCCAGACAGTTCATATCTTTTCTTTTTATCCCAATTCATACTATCGATCTTTCCCACCTCTGAACTTCTACAGATGTGGATTCAGGTAGTAACACTCGGCTGAGTCCATAATCGCTCTTTAATTCCTTTGGGCGGTTTAGTGTTGTCTCCTCAGCTACACTAGTTCCTAGAGGAAGTTATGTTATGATTCGAGTGGATGTATGTGTTTGTGTGCTTGTGTATATGTACTGCATATACAGTTACTTAGACACAGGTGTTCATACCTGTATACATAATCACACGTACACGGAATTCCCACATTGCTCAGCATTATGTCGGCTGCGCTTCTGTAGTCTAGTCAATGTCAACTCTGCCATATGGTCTGTGTTCTGTAAGTGTTAGCACTTTATGCAATTCATTGATATCTTTTAAGTAAAACTACTTTTTAGAGTTTTTATGAGAAGTGATTTGAATTTCATTTTCATGCATCTGTTGTTGTCAGTGACAACAATGTTGGTTCTTTATTGGTAATCTGTCATTTTCCTCTGGCTGTTCTTCAAATGTTATAATCATTGATGTTCAGTAACTTCCCAGCCGTACTTTTAGGTGCACACATATTCTGATAAATACTGTTCGATTCTCAGTATTGCATTCAATCCACAAATACAATTTTCTTTTATACTGGAAATGTTCATCTGTTGTTTATTTCTCATTCTCATTATTTGATCCTTCTCTTCTACTCTTTCTCTGCGTGTCTCTTATTGACATCACTGCTCACCAGGATCATCTAAGATGACTTCATCTTGACATCCTTAATTTTATTAATCTGCAAAGTCCCTTTTTGTCCAAATGAGATCATGTTCACAGTTTCTTGGGGTTAGGGCATGGGCATATCTTTTGGGGGGCTATCATTCAACTCACTATAGGAAGCCAGGGAAAAATTTTGAAATGATCAAGTCTTAAAAAGATTAGTATGGCTATAGAGAGTTTAAAAAAATCAAGTAGAGAGAGGGAAAGAAAAAGAGAGTGAGGGGAGGGGAACTAGGGGGGCAAGGAGGGAGTCGAAGAGGGAGAGAGATGGATATTAATTATTAGAGGCACAGGTGCTAATTAATTAGATGGTCATTTTAGTAATGCAGCGTGTAGATGATGGCATTTAATGTAAGCTGAGAAGTAAAGGGGAAGAAAGGGTAGTTGCAAGATTAAATGGCAAATATTCAGGTTTTGCTGAATGATATGAAAGGAAAGGAAGCCTTTAAAAGTGTTCTTGGAGAAAGCAAGAAAGAAACAGAAAGTGATTTATTAGAAAAAACAGGAATAAGAGGTTTGCTAGAAGGTCACTATCTTAGTAAGATAATGATCTTAGTTCTGTTGTACTGAGGTTCTAAAGCATTTACATAGAAATTTCCAGAAAGCAGTTGATGATGGAGACCAGATTATTTGAGTAGTGGTCCTAAGAGGAGATAAGGAGCCAGAAAGGAATAATTCTTGACTCTTTAATGTATTTTCCCAAGAATTTTCCCAGTTCTTGCACAGTTTCCTCCTTTTTCTCATGGATAGTTTTCCTTTGTTGATATTTGTGTGTGTGTGTGTGTGTGTGTGTATGTGTGTGTGTCTGTGTGTGTGTGCACGTGTGTGTGTGTTTCCTTGAGGTGTGAGTGGTGGAATGATCCATGGAATGGGGCTCTGCTAATTTAGTAATGCATCCCCTAACACATATTTTATTTTTAAGTATCTAAGTGTTTGACCACTCATATTCTGTCATACAGATGCATTTAACTCTTACACATGCACTGACTTTTCTTGAACACTTAAACTAGTTTCCAAATTTTTCCATCATAAATAATGTTAGGATGAATAACCTATTTTGTGATTAAGGTTTTAACTTTTTCTTAACCATTTTAATGAGGTTGCTCTTTTCCCCATGTTCCGAATGTATGAAATTACCTATGATGGTGTTGTTTAAACAAATGCATGCTGAATCATCTTTTTACTTTTAACATCAGAGAAAAGTGGCCTCTAAATCCAGTAGTAATGTTTATCCAGTGGAAAGATAGGATAATGTTTCTTTAATTTCTAAATTCTTATTTCTTCAGCAGGCTTCTCATTAGAATCAGCCACCTGTGATATTTTGCTTCACCTCTCGCCGCCCCCCTCCCACCTGCTGTACAGGATGGCTCTTACCCCTCCTGCTGAATCTGTGCTTTAACCCTACCTTGGTCTTCCCCTTGCCTAGGCCAAATCATCAGCCTCAGATCTCTATTCTCAGCCCATACTTTAGCTCTTTCAACAAAATGTCTGCTTTTGCTGTGCATTAAGACATAATATTCTCTCTAGCCTGTGCTTCATGGACTGATGAATGATGTTCCATAGTCTATGCATGAAAATGATTTTAAGTTCCCCCTCCAAAAAGAAAGTTGAGGTATTAAATAACTTCAAGGACTATAACCCAGGTACCAATTATGTAGGCTATCTAATGTCTAAGATGATATTTCTGCCTGGCAAGGAGACCATTTTTTTGTCCTTTTTCTGTGAAAAGGGTATTGATTTATTTTACTTTCCAAAGATGGAGGCTGCATGGGATTGAAATAACTAGTGCTACAGGCCTTGGAGATGAGACTATGGCTTGTAGTTACAGGGAAACATCTGAGCACCCTCCTTTCCATCTCCCTTCATGTATACATGTGCATGCTTAGCCTTTGCTAACCATGCCAGCTCGGCCTGGAGCCTTACAGTGTCTTAAGCCTTGATATGTCTGCAGTAATGGAACCAAAGTCAGTCAGGAGAAGTTACTCATCCTTCCCGTTTATGGCCCTACAGTGTTTCAACCTTTCCCTTACATCCAAATGACTCAGCTGCACTGGCTTCTACAGGATCAGTGGACGGAGATGGTTTTATTCTATCTATGTTGAAATCGGACATTTTTACTAGTCAGTTAATTTCTATCAAGGAATAAACTTTTATCACTTGACAATAAGAGTACCTTTCTTTTTCTTCCCCCCTTGTTCCAAAGGCCTTAGGCTGGGTCTCTTCTAACAATTTTCTCCTCTGCCTTCTCCTCCCACAGAGTGGGAACTGTAGTCACTCTTTAAATCAAAATGCCTAAGAACAGTGACAAACAATGACAGTGACAGCATCTCTCACTCTCCCAGTCATCAGGGATGGAATAGCTTTGCTGCTAAATGACTGAAATTGCTTTGGTTTGAATGGGTTGCTCAGGTTGCTGGATGTTCTGTTTTCTTTCTTTTTGTGTTTGTGTGGAGCACTGCTTCTCAACTTCCAGTGCATGGGAATCATCTGGAATCTTGTTAAAATGCAGATTTTGCTTCAGTAGGTCTGGAGTGGGCTCTGAGATTTTACATTTTTAATAAGCTCCCAGGCAAGGCTCATGCTGCTGGGCTAGGACCACACTACCAGTAGCAAGGTTTTAATGAACAAATGCGTTTTGTTCAGTTTTGATTATACATTCAACCCTAGAATTCAGCACTTCTCCAAGTTATTAACCTATCCCATCATAATATGACCCGGGGATTTCCCACGACCGGCTCTAAATCTCACGATTTTCCAGAGAAGAATTAGCCGTTCGTGATTCCACTTTGCCTTAAAAATTAGACACATTCCACTGCCAGGTAATTTCCTGGCACTCATCTGTACAGGCTTCCTTCTTTTTGCAAAGGAGAAGAGTCCTGGCACCTGTCTCACTGCTGCTGTGACGTGCTAGGCGGTACATGGAAGTGAGAGATGATCTTCCCTGAGGCAGGACTCATCATCAGTTCCTCCGCTTTCTTCCCTAGTTGCTTCGGAAGCTCAAAACAACCTATTTCCTTTTGTTAAATTACCATTATTTGAAACCTGGACAAGGAAAACCTCTTCAAAAGCCATTTTTGTTCTCTTCTCTCTCTCAGATTCCTTGAAATGGCAGTTAAAGAGAATGATTTTAAAAAAAGATGATGCATTATTTTACATATTGGGAGTTAAATTATAAACAAATTGCCACTCCTCAATTCAGTAGTAATATTGTATGAAGCTCCTGATTGTTTAAGGATGGCGTGTCTTAGCTTTTCTTCCCTCGTGTTCCCGTGATATTATTTGAAATGTCTTTTTCCAAGGTATAAACTGCGTGATATCATAGAAATACAAAAGCGATAGTGCAAACATATGCATCCATTTCAACCCTTACATCTTTTCTTTCCGAAGGAACCACGGCATTTGCAGTTTTTCAGTGAATTTGGCAATAGTGATATTTATGTGTCACTGGCAGGCAAAAAAAAACACGGAGCCCCAGCTAACTATGGATTCGGCTTTAAGGTACAGGCTTAATATTTTGATAGATGAATAAAGCAAGCCTCAGTCTTTTAGGTAAGCTTGAGTTTCTTTAATTTCTTTTAAAAAGGGACCGCTTTCTCTTATATGTAGGAGAATTTTAGTGGCTTTTATTTCAACAGGTGTTACCTTCAAGATATGCATTAACGATAAACAATGTGCTGTGGCCTTCTAGCCTAACAGAGCAGGAGGGCCCCGCGACCTGAGAATGCTCTGTGCAGAAGAAGAGCAGAGTAGGACCTGCTGGGTGACCGCCATTAGATTGCTTAAGGTAATCTCCCTGCAGGCGTAAATTTCCATTACATGCTGTGAGGACCATGAAAGTTTGACAATATCTGTATTTCAAAACACAAAGACTCAACTATGCTTCTGCGTGCTTCCAGGAGAAAGAAGAAAAATCACCACCACCAAATGTGTGTGTTTTCTTTCTTTATCCGGAAGGTAAACATTTGCAGAGTAGAGTGGAATAAACTTAATACATTTGTTTTTTTTGTGTGTGGAGTCAGTATGCCATTTTTAGAAATTTTCTGACATTTTTTTAAGTATTACATATCTAGCTGGTATAACTGATTGAAACATATCCTATATAGGACTCAGTCTTCATTTTTTAAATTAAATAATTAATTAATTAATTTTTATTTTTTTGACTTAAAAATTTTTTTTTATTAAGGTATGATTGATATACACTCTTACGAAGGTTTCACATGAAAAAACAATGTGGTTACTACATTCACCCATATTATCAAGCCCCCACCCATACCCAAATACAGTCTCTGTGCATCGGTGCAGCAAGATGCCACAGATCCACTATGTGCCTTGTCTGTGCTACACTGTTCTCCCCATAATCCCCCAAACCGTGTGTACTAAACATAATACCCCTCAATCCCCTTCTCCCTCCCTCCCCACCCACCCTACCCCACCCCTCCCCTTTGGTAACCACTAGTTCATTCATGGAGTCTCTGAGTCTCTGCTATTTTGTTCCTTCAGTTTTGCTTCATTGTTATACTCCACAAATGAGGGAAATCATTTGGCACTTGTCTTTCTCTGCCTGGCTTATTTCACTGACCATAATGTCCTCCAGCTCCATCCATGTTGTTGCAAATGGTAGGATTTGTTTCTTTCTTATGGCCGATCAGTAGATGAATGGATAAAGAAGATGTGGTACATATACACAATGGAATACTATTCAGTCTTCATTTTAAAAAATGTTGCTGTCAGTCCAACACAAAGTGTATTTTACAAAGCGCCCACCCGGGTATGTTTAGAATAGTTGTTTTACATTTCATTTAAATATTGTACAGATTGCTTTCTAGTTTAAGTGTAACTCAAGTTATTCAATAAATTTTAGTAGAGATATATTAATTAAAACATCTACCTTTGCACTAAGTGTAAATTACAACTTAAATAAGCATAATTTGTTGGTGGGCATTTTGAAAGAAGTAAGAATGTTCTAAATGGTAAGTCGGGAAGAGAGATGTAGAACTGATTTCTGCCAGACTGACACTTATTCATTTTTAAAATTTGTATGCTAGTAAATTCAGTACGACTTTACATTTACAGTTATGAAATTATCAACCATTCCTTTTGAAGAAGGGCAAAATAATCAGAATCTGAATTATTAGCTGTCATACCAGGCTTGGAAGAAAGTTTTGCTTTTTATCCTTCTATTATTTTAATTGAGGTGAAATTCACATAACATAAAAGCAGGCAGATTGACTACTTTTAATGTGAACAATTCAATGGCATATAGTACATTCAAAGTGTTGTGCAATCAGCACCTCTGTTTAGCTCCAAAACACTTTTATCACCTCAAAAGGAAACTTCGAGCCCACGGGGCAGTTATTCCCAGCCCAGGGTGACCGTCAGTCTGTGTCTGTCTCCATGGATTTGCTTATTTAGATACTTCACAGAAATGAAATCATATGTAACCTTTTGTGTCTGTCTGCTTTTACTTAGCATATTGTTTTGTGGCTCATTCACCTTTTGTAGCATCTATCAAATGGGTTGTTTGTACCTTTTGACAGTTGTGAATAGCGCTGCTGTGAACATATGTGTACGTGTATTTAAGCACCAGTTCTCAGGTTTTTCAGGTATATACCCAGGAATGGAATTGTTGTTCATATAGTAATTGTTTGTTTACCTTTTTGAGGAATTACAGAATGTTTTCCGTGGTGGCTCAACTACTCTACATTCCTACCAGCAATGTATGAGAATTCTAATTTCACCATGTCCTCGCTCACACTTGTTATTATCCTTTTTTTTTAAATTTTAAAGAATCATCCTAGTGGGTGTGAAATGGTATTGGAAGAAAGTTTTCAAAAATGCTTAAAGGAAGCTTTTGGAATGACTGTAATTTGCTTCCTTTTGCTGTTATGGCGGAGAGCCAAGGAGGTCACCTTTTTATAAGAGATTTGTCCCAAATAGCATACTGTTAAATGGCTGTCAGCTATCATCATTTGGTTTCAGTAAAGCTGAGAAGTCTTGGTTCTTTGAAATCCTAATGATAAATAATCACTCCTATGTAGCTCTCATTGTCATAAAATATAAACAAGAGAAAAGGAATTCAGAGTCTTGGGAACCAACCAATCAAGGAGCAGAAGTGAGGTAGCTAGAGATGTGCTCTGGAATCAGCTGAGGGGCATCCTCAAGGTCTGTGTGTCTGGCCCCAACCTTGGGGACCCCGATTCAGTGGGTGAATCCCAGGTGTCTGCCTGATTAAGAACCACTGACCTCATCCAGACCTCTCCTTTTACAGATGAAGAGGCTGGCACCCTTTGGAAGGCTTTACCCCATCACAGTTGTAGGGAAAATTGTAGAGAAAATACCCTGAGGTTTCTGGTTCTCCCTCCCCTTCCATCAGAACTCTGGAAATCAGGCCAGGTTGGTAGAGGAGACGCTTTCCAATCTGGTGAGTCAAGTCTTTCTCCCTCCTAACTTGGGCTCAAAGTCAGACACCCAACAGAGGAGCAATTGGTAAGCTCACTTTCTTGAATCAGTCTTTCAGTGAATCTAACACGTCGTGATCTTACTAGATTACTCAGTTATTTTGGTCTAACTAGAAAGAAAATTATTATGCCAATGGAGTTTTAATATGATGCTTTCATGTCCCTCAAAATTTTTTATTTTCATTTAAGTGTTATTTTAGATTTATTTAGACCTATAGATCTAGATTTTCCTCATTTATTGATTTTGTGCATGACACGAATATATACATATATATGATTATATATGTGAAATAAATTAGCTTGGGTATCTTTAAAACTTCTTCATATTCTAAGTCTGGCATTTCTGAATCCTTTTCATCTCAGAGTCGTGGATACCCATATTTTCCACAGACTCTGCAGCTCTGTGGCATCAGGAGCCTCAGGGAGGCAGAACTTCTCAAAGACGTGCCCTGCCGAGGTCTGGGGGGGGCTGTCTAGCCGCTGACACCCCTTTTGCATGGGTTGATGCTGATGATTCCTTGATCCCCTCAATGATCAGGCAATGGGAAGTCACGTGGTCCACAGTGACTATAAAATGCCTTCGATTATAAGACATAGTTCCAGGTGTTAAAATTTGAGAAGAAATGAGTCTGAGAATTAATGAAATAAACTAAAGTTTTTTTTTTGATGACTTCTGTACCCAAAGGGCTGAGTTTCTGGAATTTCGTCCCTTTATACTTTGACTCTTCTCGAAGCCTCTTTCAAGTCACAGATGCGCGGTTTCTAAATGCTCTGTTGTATCAGTTTCCCGTTGCCTCTGTAACGAATCGCCACCAGCACAGTGACTTACAGCAACGCAGATTTATTATCCTACACCTCTCTCATTCAAGAAGTCTGGATTGGGTTTTATTGGCCTCAAAGCGAGGTGTTGACGGGGCTTCATTCCCTTCTGGAAGCTTTAGGGGAGAATCCATTTCCCTTGCCCTTTCCAGCCTTTGGAGGCTGCCCGCATTCCTCGGTCAGACTCGTGGTCCCTTCCTCCACTTCAAAGGCAGCAGTGTCTGGCCAGGTCCTTTCATCCTGCCGTTTGCCCGGCTCTCCCCTTTCTGCCTGCCCCTTTCACTTAGAAGGACTATTGTGATCACATTAGAGCTACCTCAGTAGTCCAGGATGTTCACCTAATTTCAAGGTCACCTTATTAGCATGATTATTTCCATCTGCAACGTTAATCCCCCTCTGTCAGGCAGCTTGGCATATTCAGACAGGTTCTAGCGATTAGGATGGGGAGCTCTGTAGGGGCTGCTACTCTGCCCACCACATCCACCTTCCCTGTTGTGTCGATTGTGGTAAAGCTTTTGCAGGTAAGGCTGGAAAAGGGAGGCAGGCATCAGTGAGGACTTTTTCCCTGGAGCTAATGAGAAAACACCAAATGGTATCAAAAGGGAAAGTGATATGACCTGTTTTACACTTGATGCAGGAAGCCAGGGCCCGCCCGCACAGGCCCATTTGAGACCCTCTAATAAGGGGGCTTGTTTCTCTTAGCGGCTTATAATCAGTGGGGCACTTGTTTTGTCCCCCTGTCTGGTCCAGCTGGACTCACCTGATGTTAGAGGTATTTTTGGATTGTCTCCTTTGGTTGTTTGTGTCATTTCCAGAGTTTATCTTTGTACCTTGGTGGGGAGGAGCAGGCAGAGACTAAACTGTCACGTTGGCTGGACTGAAAGTGTCCCTTTGGTTTTCATTGTATATGACTCGGTCAATGGAGCCTCCCCCAGGAAGCTTTGTTTTATTTCCCTTTTTTTTTTTCCATATACGCATACAAACTCTTCATGTAGCATCAGATGAAGATCTCTTGTTCTCTTTGGAGAAATTCCAGTTACATATAGAATCGCAGAAGATCTGAGACTTAGGAACGGGTAGATTTGCTCATGTACAGCATCCTGATTACACGTTGTCTGCTGCCCTTCCCTTCAGTGAGAGCTTTGCTGGCTTCTCTGACCTATTTTGGTCACTTCCCTGATCCTTCATAGGACAGGGAAATGTTAGGGTGATCCACACCCTGCCGCTTGGCCAGAGTTAAGTGCCTACTAAAGACCTCCACCAGCGCAGAAGCACCCACCTAACACCACAGGTACCAGGGACAATATGTCTTTGAAGAAAATAGTCTTATTAGTAGGTAGCAGGCTTTTTACTGCAGATAAATAAAAGGTTGTACTTTGTAGAAGGGTTGGTTAGAGGTTATTATATATTCTCCAAAATGAATTTGGCTAGGAATTAAGCTCCTCTGTCTTCTTTTTAAAGTTATTGTAGGCTTAGAGTTGATTTAAAGTAAATTTCATTAGGTACCATTAATGTCAATTAAACCTTAAATTAAAAAATAATTTTTAGAAGCTGGGAAATAATTGGATAAAGAAGTCAACACAGAGAATTTTAAATGAGTGTGGGTTTGCATTCATATTAAAAGCAAAATTTTGAAAATAGTGACTCTCCTTGCCCACCCCTCTGATTTTCTACCTAATTACCGCATATATCCACTTTGCTGAAATTGCTTTTAAGGAAATAGTCGTTAGTAGAGAAATAGCTCTGTTGGACTGTTGAGAAAGCATACATCCTAAGGATGAGATTGGATTCCACCGTGTCTCTTCCATCTCTTTTATATAGGACCTACTTTTAAGTTCATTATAGCTCTGTGACACAGAGGGAATTGTAGAGTATAGCCCCTGCTCCCTACCCCCAAATGCCCATCTGTTCCATTGGTTTTTTTTTTAACCAAGTGCCTTAAACATAAGCAGGTTATCCTTGTCTTCAGATAGTGAACTCTGCAAGATAAATGTGGTCATGGCACTTGGCATTCTTAATGGTTCTCAAACAGATAATCTAATTACGGTGCAGACAACCTTTCCAAGTGAGGCCTGGCAGCCCAAGTCTTATGATGCTACGTCCTCAAAGTAAAGGTGCTATAGCTTTTATCTGCTGCCATTCATGTTGTATTTTGTGACTCCTTGAAATCAGCCTGATTTCTTACCAATTTGATTTCTCTGAATTTAAAGCCCAAAATAAAACAGTGTCATAGCAGTATTGTTACCAATTTTATTTCCCTGAATTTAAAGCCAAAAATAAAACAGTGTCATAACAGTATTATTACCAAAGGATGATACAGTGTCAGGAATCTTCAACATTGAGCCAAGTTTATGGTTTTATCAATGAGACAATGCAATTCATCGACTAGTCATTGAAGAGTTACCGTGAATTTTACCTGGTGTTGCCTAGGATGTATATGAGGTTTGTGGAGTCTTTGTACCAGAAACCCTGGCACCCTTCCCAAGTGAGCTTTCTTATGACTAGGTGATATGTCACTGCAAATGGTTTCGGTGCTATTGGTGCTAAGAAAGATAAGTAGCAAGGTCAGTTCCAGATCTTTACACTGGGGAGCTAGACTGTAAGTGTGGGTCCAAGTGAAAAACAATGTCTTTTTAAATGTATCATTGTCAGGCACCAAAAGCTTACCTTTCAAAATTTTGGTTGCTTTATATGTTGTTTTAAGGAAAGCTTATAACTTCTACTTTTTATATTGGTGATATATAGTTAATGCAAGTAATGATTTCATAAATGATGTGTGTAGTACAAATGGTGGGAATGTATCCCTGTTTATTCGTTCTGCAGTATGGCATGCAGCTGTACCAGAATTACATGCATCCACATCAAGGCAGAAGTGGCTGCAGTTCTCAGAGTATATCACCTATGGTAAGGACCAAACTATTGAACCGATATTTTATTTATATTTACATTATATGAATTTGCAAACACATTATATTATAAATGACTTGAAAATACATTGATATGCTTTCCTTCTGATCAAGTAAAGTAACTTTGGCACCATCCTATCATACTGTTGTGTTGAATTATTGATTCTTGAGTTTCATATGATTACATCCCATGATAAAGTCACAGCAATAGTGTATACATGATGGGTCCTATTAAATAGATGATATTGTATGTTAACTTAAAAAAATATTTGAAAGAATTACATGAATCATTCAGCATCATTACAACTTTTGAGACTAGATTTTAATAAGATAATTTATAGAATATTTTCCTTGGGATTGTAGATGTTTTCTTAATGATTGATTTTGATTGTGGGCTTCCTTAATTTATTTAAATGTTAATTCTGGGATTGTCTTAGCCTAGTATAAAGATAACAATGGTTTGGAATATTAAAATCCGCACTGTATATATGGGAGTTCCTTTGCATTCTGGTTTTCTAACAATCAATTTTTTAAAGTTCCAGGTCCTTGAAAATCAAACTGCTCTCCAGGAAACCCAAAAACTACAAGGCAAAATATAGGTCATGAATTGCATTAAGTCTAGTACCTCCTTTCCTCTCAGATTTATACTAAGTGCAACGTGGATACTTACTTGCAGACACACACAGACACAACTTTTTCCTTCTTTAGGAACTAACTTTAATTTCCTGCGCATTAGCACAAGAAATTTATTTCTGAACGTTAAGTTTCTGTTCTGCTATTTTTGCTTTCACTCCTTAATGCGGAGTATGTTAGGGATTCAGATGTATGTGCCTGTGTTACAGATCACCTAAGGTGCCGCGTCTACACTGAGGTTAAAAATATGCTCCTCGTGGCTGTGACCAAGGAAGGCACATTTCCCTGCATGGAATGTAGCCGATGGATTGCTCAGTTCTAGGAAAGAAGCGTGAAATAATGTTGATTTTAAAGCCTGATAGACTAATACGGAAAAAGAACTCCAATTCTGTAGTCATGTTGCTTTAAGTTGTGGAAGAGTGAAGTGTTCATCTTTGTATCGTCCCACTTTTAAGCCCTAGAATAAGAAACTAAGGAATATAATGAATTTTTATAAAAGCAATTGCTTAAAGGTGAGTATTTTTACAATTTGTCAGCTTACCCTTATCTTTCAATTCATATATATATATAAACAATAATGAGTCTTATTATCTTAAGCCTTTCCTAAATCCTTCTGAATTTCTTCTAGCATCTGTAGTTATTAGGATGAACATGTTATTAACAGCCATGCATTTGGACATTTGGAGGTAATTATTGTTTAGTGTCCTTGTAATCATAGAAAAAAAAATTGTTACAAAGTACTTTCTAGTTTCGTCACTGTCATTAGCCTCCATGTACGGTATTATCCTTCCATTGAAAGTGAACTTGCCGTTAATATGTATTTGAGAGTATGGTTAGTCTAGCTTCCCTGGTTTAACACCTTGGATGGGAACAGACACTCCTTGAGTGAGTCTGGTTGGAAATTGTGATTGTAGAAGGGGTTTAGGCACCGGTATGGGGAAGGCCTACACAGCAGTTGTCGTAATCAGAGAACAGCAGTTAAGAATTGTATGTGCACTTTTCATTTACATGAAGGAAACAAAGAAGTTTTGGGAGGTGTCTGTGCTGACTCTGGCGTCTACACAGAGTCCCAGCTCTCTAGGTTCTCATAGAAGAGTCAGTGGCCTGCACAGTGGGGGCCAGTGCCCCTCACTGGCCTCTGTGGGTTCTCATCTGTGCTCTTTTCAGGGAGCAATATAGAAAACTTCATATACTCTATTTACATTTTTAAAGGAACGATATTATCTTCTTAACTTCTCCAGGGATACATTTTGAGAAGAGAAATGAGAAGAAAAATTCTCATACTGTAATGAGCATCATAGCTAAATATATAACACATAATAGCCGCTCCTGTCAACCTTTGAAAGGAGAGTCATCAGCAGATATTTCAGGAACCCGAATGTGCTTGGTTCTTTTAGGGGCAAAGAAAGGATGCATTTAAGGGAGCATCTGTTAATATGGCCCTGGCTGGAGTGAGGGGATGGGGAAATGAGTCGATTCCAGTTCTTATCGTTCCTCACTTTGGACCGGACCCTACGCCAGATGTCCCAAACTGTAGTTTCCTGTACCTCCCACTCTCTGGTACATCAAAGAACCGTAGGTAGAGCCTGCTGTCACTGCTTTTCCATAAGCTGTCTGTGTGACTTTGGTCCAGTGGCTGGTGTCCTACAGTATAAAATAAGGGGCATGGCTGCATAATTTCTAAAACTGATTACATCTCTCATCTCCTTTGACTCTGTATGAAGCAGATGAGAGAACAATATCAGGAAATTCTGTTCCCTTTTGCACAGAACCGTGCTGCAGGTTTATCCGAATCTTTCAAGTGGGGTAACAGAGAGTGTGAGGCTACTAGTTACCTCCTAGCTAAACTGTCTGAAAAACATTTTATGTTCAAAACTCACCAAGAGGACCTAATCTCAAAGTGTGGCTGGGCTATCCAGGGGGTACCCAGGTCTCTTCTTTCTTAAAAAAAGAGACCTGCCATTAAAATCATGGATGCTTTTTAAGGGCTCACCCTATTTATCGCACTAGAAGAAAGAGCTAAAAAAAGGGACAAATATTTGAGAAATACACGGATTCTGAATGTTATCAACATTGCATTCCTATGTGAAAGAAATTGAGCTGAAAATGACCTTTTGAGTCCAAGTCAGATTCTTGTCCACTTCCATTTCTTTGTCCACCAAAGGTAAACTATTAATTTTTCATCCACCACCTGCCACTCAGTAGAAAACATTTGCTATATTCCTGTGTTTTCCCCTAGTGGAGTTAACGTAGCAGATGAAAATACTTACTTGCATTGTAGATACTCTACTTAGATCCAGTAATTATGGAACACGGGATCTTGTTTTACCTTCCAGCCTGTCATGTTATAGGCAAAAAACCAAAACACAACAAGCAAACCAAAACAAAAACAAGATCAGCAGGTTATGTTTATTTTGCTCCTCTAACAGTATTTTTATGTCATCAGAACGTTGCGATTGCAGAGCCCATCTTGGTGTATTAAGGTAGAGATATTGTTAGGATAAAGCTATCATTATGTTTGAGATTAGTTACTCTGTGGTTTGGGCAGGTGGGGGCTTTTCATTAATGTCGGCAAAGCAAAACTATATCCAACGGGTCCATAGCCCGGCACAGAAGATCACGGGGTGAGAAGGGCAAAGTAAGGTGTGACAGCAAATAGAGATTACAGAGACAGCATCTGTCTGCAAAGAGCAGCTGTCAGTTATAAATGCTCCTGTAACAAATGAAAGATTGCCTGCTGGACCTCTAGGTATGAAGATGAACTGTAATAAGATTGCAGACCACTACAGCATGGTTCGAAGAGAAACAGCAAATGCTAATAAAGTGGGATGTGTGATGCAGTGATAAATGAGGCCCCCAATTTTTTTTGTGTGGACAAGGTTTTGTTTCAGGCACACATATGGCTGTGTAGTCGGTTAGACCAAGCTATGCCTGGCACAACCCATGTGGAGAGAGAGAAACTGGTCTGAAGCCACTGGCCTCCAGGTACACACTGGCCGGCCTTTGCCCATTAGCACTCCATGTTTTGTGTTACTCTTGTATTAACAAGTGGGGATAACTGTTAAACATTGTCAATGCTGTTTTTGAATTTTTTTTTTCTTTTGGAGAATTTTCAGTCTCATAAATGGACCAAGCCTCTTGACTGAAGATTTTGACAATTATCTTTTTTTAGAATGCATCATTTGGGATGCCATACTTTTAAAAAGATGGTTGTGAAATTGAGCCCGAAACAAACAAAAAACAAAAATATGGTCCAGGTTTGGCATATTTTATTTTCACCTAGAGAGAATATGAATTCAAAAAGTAGTGGTCTGAAAGATGATTTTATTACTTGTTCAAATTATGTTTGTTGAAAGATGTCTTTTATGTAAGTTCCCTTTTTGTCACACGGACTTATTTTTGCAACTCTCACTTGGTCACGTGTGTCCTCACAAGATGAAAAAACATGCACGTATTAAGTGATAGAAATTTTAGTATTATGGAACTATCTGAATCATCTTCTAAGAAAGATGAAAGTTGATCTGATAAGCTTTTAAAATGCATACTGTAGTTTGTTCCTTTGTAAAATATGAGTACTATTTCTTCTTAAGGAAGTGATGTAAGTCAGTCTAAGTTATGGTTTTGTCTCTCTTGAACCTTGTAAATTAGTTGCTGTATAAGTAGATAGATTTGACATATAAATGGTAATTGATGAATTTCAAGTCCTAATAGAGAGACAAATTCAGAAGTAATGGATCTTTTTAGCCACAGGAAGGATTTTTTCTTTCTAAATTGGCATTTTCCCATTTTACTAGAGAATATGAAGAGAGAGGTTTTTGTTTTAGGAGAAAGTCATGCTTACTTGGAAGGCCTTTTAATCTCTTAGCTCAACACAATTCAGTAACCTTAACAAACAACTGTGTAACTTATTTAACTGAAATGTTTTATAGCACCATTTTATCTTGAATATGTACTTTTCACCTTTTAATGTCCTGCTGCCACTTTTGGAACCACAGTCTAGAATGGCAACATATTTCCTGCAAACACTTAAAGATAACTTTCAAAGATATTTTCATGGTAAAAATTGTGTTTATTATTTTTTTTTCCAGAGAAGTATATCAGAGAATTCCCTAGTAGCAATGGACTTCTCAGGCCAGAAAAGCAGAGTCATAGAAAATCCCACAGAAGCACTTTCCGTTGCCGTTGAAGAAGGTCTTGCTTGGAGGGTACATATAGCATCACGTTCCTCAAAATGTTTCTGATTTGAATTTGTTTTACCCCAAAAGCTGAACTTTCTTCCCCTCTTCCTTGTGCAGAAAAAGGGATGTTTACGCCTGGCCACTCATGGTAGCCCCACTGCATCTTTACAGAGCTCTGCCACAAACATGGGTACGTCTGCACGTGGTCCCCTGGGACTGAAATTATAGATGGGCATTTAGTTGGAGTAGCTAACTGGTTGAGGGTGGAAAGCACGTGGAACTAAATGGTGATAATTTCAGACACAGCTTTGTGTTCCTCCATTGTATTCCGTCAGCTATCCACCGGTCCCAGCCCTGGTTTCACCACAAAATTTCTAGAGATGAAGCGCAGCGATTGATTATTCAGCAAGGACTTGTGGATGGGTAAGTTTGATTTTGAATGGTAGTGATTTGGTTTCTCCTGTAATCTATAATTATTCATTCAACACACATACTGTTTTGACTTGGGCTTATCATAAAACAGAAGTGACTTTGTTATGGAAGGATGGCTGCCCTTGTATCCTGCATTATCTATATAATACTTGGGACCCTGTGTGCTTAGTGATTGTGCGCAAATGAACAGATAACTGAGAGGATGCTCTGCTTTTAACCAGTGATTATTAGTACTACCCATTCTGTACCAAGACTAGTATCTCAGATAAAACTGACTTGTTTTGGGGTGTCAACATTTTGATTTGAACATATAATTAATATGATTCAAAAATAAGATTTGTGTCATGACATCTTACATGTTATATTTTTTTAAGTTTGATGCAGGGGGTATTAAATAGAAGGCTCATATGTTTTGACTGCTTGTTTTATTTTTTTCTCTCTGCTTACATGCCTATTTTCTGTCTAAATTTTGGCAGTTTAAAGTAATAGAAACCTAAGAAAAGAGTACTTGTTGACTGTTTCTCGTGTTATCTTCTAGTGAGGTAGCATGGAAAATACAAGAGAAATAAAAAATGGATTAAGAAAGATTTATAATCTAAAGAATTTTCTTTTTTTAAATTATCAATATTTCAGATACTTTCTTTAATACTAGCTAAATTCTCTTCCCAAATGCCATACAAATAGGGAAGTTGTATTGAGGCTTGGATGAGAAATGCAGCTAGCATCTATTTGAACCAATGGTGAATGGGATCTTTTATCTTCCAGGGTTGGCTTAAGTTGATGACGAGATTTCAAGGTGATTTAATACTGACATTTGGATAAAAATGGATCTTCATATGGAAGACTATTAATAGCCAGTCAGAATTTCACTGGATTCTGAATAAGAGAATATTTGAATGAGCTTCTCTGTGTGGAGCATGGTCTTTCTAGATTCAAATCTGAATAATTAGTAGAATTACAATCTGATGAGACCAAGAAAAGATATAAATTGCAAAGAATTGTAAACTGTTTGGGAGAATTATAATTTTCCCATTTTCTAAGCCCAGTTTTTTTCGATTGAATGCAGTAATTGCATAAAGAGTAATATCTTTATTTTTAAAATTTTTGAATTAAAAAAATTGGCCTTGTGGGGGGCGGGGGTTATTCCTTTGGAAAAATGCCACGAGGCCACGCAGGCCACTAGGTGGCAGTGGTGGCACGCTCGGGAATGGGGAAAGAATCAGCCTGGTTTACCAGTGAGTCTCTTGTACCACCTCCTTGTGATGTAATGTCTGAATTTCACGCAATACAACTGAAATGGATAATCTCATCAGACATCTGTGATGGCTCAAATTTGGCTGCCTCTTTGCCCAGGCACAGAGTCACCAGTGTGGACTGTTTGCACAGTCTGTTTGCCAACAATTAACACAAAGCTGGTTTTGCATAGTCTTGCGAGTAAATAAGAGCCCCCTCCTGACATCATTTTTCTCTTAGGCCATTAGGCCATGTCTTGTTTTCCCAGCCTGACACTACAGAGGCTTTTCTGCTGCATTCTTCAAGGTTAAAGTATAAGTTTTTGGGGTGTTTCTTTTACTTAAAACATTTTGTTCAAACATTTAATAAATGATTTTAAGGTTGATTTATTTTTAGAATGTATTTATTTCTCACTTTCTGTTGTGTGGGTACCATGTAATGGTAGGAACCAGAATCGAGAGAAAAAAGGGGATCCAGTGCAGAAAAGGGGATTACAAAATGATTTCATTCTAGATGATTTTCTTTTCAGGGCCTACTGCAACCCAGATTTAGAATAACAATATGCTAACGCCCCATTCTCTGTAAAGAAGTGCTACATGTGAATACCCAGTTTCCCGGTGGAGAAAGGACACATTAATTATTGATGCCAGCATAGCATTATATTGCTTATTGTGAGCAAACAATCTGACAAATGGGCTGTATGTTTATCCTTTTAAAGTGAAATTAGAGCTGATGACAGTTTTACAGTGTAAGGATCTGTTATACCGTGCTGTTTACCAGGTCGGATAATCCCACCATTGAATACAAAGTAAAGGAAAACTCTGGCTACATTTATGAATATACTTCCTGCATTCGTTACATGCTGTCTTTCTTTGAAATCCATGAGTAAATGCAGAAACATATTGAAATTCCTTCTCTCTCTTTAGAGTTTTCTTGGTACGGGATAGTCAGAGTAACCCCAAAACTTTCGTACTGTCAATGAGTCATGGACAAAAAATAAAGCATTTTCAAATTATACCAGTAAGTAATTTGTGATTTCACATTCGTATATCAGAAATGATCTTCATGCATAAGCTTTTGGAAACTGTTTTTTTCAGATTTTTTATTAAATATAACTTGGGAGCTTGTGCTTTGACCAGACTTAAGTTTGGCAGAAATGGTTTTATGAGCCTGAATTAATATAAGAAATACAGGAATTGTGAAAATTAAATTTCCCTTTTTCCATGAAATGTGATTTAGCAATATCATATAGACCCCATGCCACCTATTGTTAAAAGGCCACTAAAAATTCTTTCTGAATTCTACCAGTGGTTCTTTAAAAACCATTATTTTAAAGCCTTTTCTCCTTTCATGTCTCAAAAATGTTTTTTTTTGTGTGTGTGTGCTTTTTTAGTTTTATTTTTAATCATTATGGATAGAAACACAGGTACTGCAGAACTGGAGAACATTCCAACTATTCTGAGCACATTCTGTAATTCTGTTTCTGGATGGCACGACTTGCTTTGGGAGTTTCGTTGCTTCTGCTGTGTGTGTGTGTGTGTGTGTGTGTGTGTGTGTGTGTCTGCACGCACACACGCAGGTATGTATACATGCGATCTGTATATTGGGACCAGACAGTAATGGGATAGAAATTCAGTCTATTTTCAGTATGTAAGATTGCTAAATTGCTAGTGTTCCCTTTTGAATGGCCTCTTTTTGGAATTTTAGAGTCTATATGAAGTATCTTCCCTGTTTAATATGTGGTTAGTGTCCCTGAAAAATATAAATTGCTTACTATTAGAAGACCTCATTGCCCAAAAAGAAGAAAAAAAAAGAAAGGCAACTGTCATTCAATTTTTCTAATGCTTGATTGAGTCAGAAACAGTTTGTAGATACAAATTATATAAATATTCATTTTTAATACACTAAGAGAGGCTGTTAGGTAGTCATCATTTAGAAATGGGAATCAATTTCTGTAAAATGGAACATTAAAATACTCTGTTTGCTTTTACAGTGAATAGTGTAGATTTTTCACTGTTTCTTGATTCAGAACAGTATTTTCAGAATAGAATATATTGTTCCAAATATTGGACTTTGGGAGAATCAGAGGGAGAGGAAGTGGAGCCCCAGTGCTTATCCCAGGACCCCATGATGCTTCGTTTAAATGCAAGTGAAGTCGCGTAACGAAGCGGCCATACCAGAACATTCTTCTCACTCTCCTTTAGTTTCATCAACTTGTGGGTTTGGGCAAATAGACACAGTATGCGTAGGATTTGATTGTCCTTCTGGGTGTTTTGTCCTTCTTTCTGAGCTTGTTGTTTTTCCTCTTGCAGGTGGAAGATGACGGCGACATGTTCCACAGTCTGGATGATGGCCACACGAGGTTTACAGACCTGATCCAGCTGGTGGAGTTCTATCAGCTCAATAAGGGTGTTCTTCCGTGCAAACTGAGACACTATTGTGCTAGGATTGCTCTCTAGTCAAACCGGAAGTGACTTATTGTTCAACTGTTGAAGAAAAAGGACTTAAGAAAAAAGAGGAAAAAGAAAAACCATGAACAAGGGAGGCCATGGTGAAAAGAATCTCTGTCACCTACAGGTTACAAAGCATAGTTTTTGCATTGGAAATAAGAGATTTGGATTGACATTACAGTCATCCTTTAAAATTTATTAGTTAAAATTAAACTTCAGAAAAAATGATTTGGTGTGTTCTTGTGTGATTTGACATTACCATAATATTTTCTTCAAATATGCACATTTTTCACATCTTTCTGTCCTTATAGTAGCATTAGAACTTTCAACCACAAAATAGGCAAAAAATATTGGGGTTCAGGATGAGTAGTCTGCAGACTGGATTTCGATTACACTACATTTTTTTGTAACTTTAAAAGTATAATAAAACCTTGGGTTATGAATTAAAAGAAGCAACCCACAACATGTTAACAAAACTAAAAATTATTTTGAATTATGTATTATCTTAGTTTATAATAGCTTTAAAATCAAATCATATTTTCAAGTAGCAACTTAAAATTATTTGGAAATATATTGATTTTTTCAGGATGATTTTTATTACCTCGTCAGATTATTAATCATACAGTAATCATTACACTGGTATTGTACCTATTAGGGACACATCACCTACTGCATTTTTTTAATTCATTTAATGATTAACTGGAACTATTTGTTCTTAAGAAAATGACCAAAATATAGATGGGATTTACGTGATTTGCACATGCCTTCTGTGGCATATAATCTGTGACAATGTAACATTGTCACCTTAATATTTCACTTTTGCCCAGGCTGTAATTTTCAGAGGGCTCTTCATATTCTTTTCATTCTAGATTTTCAACCTGATCAAAATCAGTGAAACCAAAGATGCAAAATCTGTGAAGATCCTAATAGGTAAATCCATGCTATTCTCTTTGTCAACTGCCTTTTTGCTTTCTTACCTTGCCAACATCAATACGGAAAGCGAAAGATTTTGGAAACTTGAGGCACCTCTTGAAACTCCTTTTTCACCTCTGAGAATCTGGTAGGTTTTTGTTGGGATTCCATGACTGTTTTTCCCATCTTGTGGGAATGATACTCATTGTTCTAAAGAAAGAAAGAAGAGAAACAAAACATCAAATAAACATTAAAATCATGCCAAATTTGCCTATGTCTTCTCTAGTTGATCCTTACAACACTGTGGGAAAGTTAGGAAGACTTTCTGCAACTATTTCAAAAATGCCTATTTTAGTTTTAAATAAAAGCTATGCATTTTTGGTAATAAAGCATCCAAAAACAGTCATGAAATGCTAATAAGTCAGTTATCACTGAAATAGAATTATTGGTGGAATTTAAAAAAATTCAGTTTACTTTTAGCCAATGCAAACCTAATTCTTTAAACACTAAAACTTACAACATGAATCTGATGTTATAAAATATCTTTGTGGTGTCTACAATAGCTTGGAAGATACACAGGACCTCTAAATGGAAGAGTGAGAGGTACCCATTTGGCTTTTTCAGTCTTTCAGAAAAGCCCTGAAGTATTTCTGATTTACTTCTGATTTATAGAAATATATTGTGTTTTGATTTGAAATGCATTTTCTCATTTTGCAGCCAGTTCAAATTGACAGTATCAGAAACTGTAATATTTTAAATACTAGGCTCTCATAAATTGACCAATTTGTGCTTGTCTTTGTTATTTTTGTCTCTTACATCATTCATAATGTAAATTTATTTTTGTGGAGCCCACATTTTGTGTATAATTGCTCACTTTGATGTTAAAGCGTAAGTCAAGAAAAAGTATTGAGGAAAGGTTATCCCTATCATTTCTTATTCCTTCTGATAAGGGGTTTTGAATGTGTGTGTGTGTGTGTGTGTAAATCTAATATGAAATTAAGCCTGAGAGTGTCAGACACATTCAGAGTTAGTATAGTATTAAAATGGATTTCCAAGAAAACTGAATTACCTTTGGGTTATTTTTCATTTTGATTTAGCCAAATTCTGCTATTTTATACCATTATTGGATAGGGATTAGAGTAAATCGGCTGTTTGCTTTGTTTTCTTTTCCTATATTGGAGTCAATATGCTTTGCTTTCCTAGAAAGAAGGAAACCCAGCAGATTGCTACACTTGTTCTTTTTTATTTCCTTATATGGAAGAATTCAGTTTGTATTTTGAAGCATTTCGGAAACCTAATCAAACAAGATAAAAAATATTAGGGGTGTTTCAATTCAGAATAGTTCATTGTTTCACAAGCTTCTGGTCACCCACAATGCCAGCTCTGCACAGGGGAGTTGTTCTAGGGTAGTGATATTGACTGTTCCTGGAGTATGATTCCTCTACTGAGGAAAAGATTGTCCTTGGTAATGGTTACAACGTGTGACTGCAAGCTGGCTCCACTATTTAGAAAATTCTGCCAGGCACACTTAAGATTTTTTGTGCTTTGAGTCCACCTAGCAACCTGATGACAATTATGGATCCCCTTCACAGAATATCTTTAAATACGTAAAACAAAGTGAACAGAATTTCAAAGCAAATTAATTATAGAAACATAAGTCTGTGTAATTATTTAGGGAGGGGGGACCCCAAGTCGACCCCCAGCTGTAGGAAAGCCTGCTGTGTCTCCTGGCTGTGTTGACTGTCACCCTTATAAAAGGCCTCTGGCTTTCTGTTTCATGTTCTCTAGGGGACACAGTGGGCGACCATTGGTCAGTGTTCACTCACGTCGGTGGGACACACGATAGTTTGCTTGAGATGTGCCGTTCTCGTGACACTGACCATTCAGCCAAACCTTTACACATGCCTCTTGCAGGAGGCATCACCTCCTGCCAGTCCTGGCACGCACAGCTCTCACTGTCAGTGACATTTAGGCCTGCTTGTAACCGGGCCACTGCCTGTAATGTTTCTAATTGCATATACCTCAGGGTACAAATTATAGATGTGAATGCGAGAAAGGCCAGCCTCTCGGCTGAGCACATAACTGTATTCACCCAAAAGTTCACTGCAGAGTTCTCCCAGTTTGATAAAGTTATTCAAATGAATTTCTAACTAACATAAATGCTTGTTTCTGCAGCTGGGGTATCCTTTGCCATCCCAGTTCCCTTGGTGATTATAAAAAAATTCACCACTTCCCAAATCAACCCCATATAATCCACAAGGCATTAGAAACTATAGTTAGGATTAGAGTTCTGAATTCATACTTAGTGAGTTTGAATTCTAGCCCATTGCATAGTTACTATGTGGCCTTGGGCAAATCATAGTTTCTTCATTTCTGTAGAAGGGACCCCCACCGGCATCCTCATCACTGCCTCTTAAGTTGTTGGGATGGTTAAATAAAATCATTCAAGTACTTTGCACATTTGTGTAGAATCTTAATTGATTTTTTTTTTTTGTATTAGTGATTGCATGTTTAGGTACCCCACCTCCCTCTCTGGAACACTGCAGCTTCCACCACCAAGTGCTTTTTCCATGCCACCACTGTACCTCTGTTCTGGTTTCATTCTTTCCCACAAGACTGTGTCTGTGGAAGTAGCCATGGGTAGGGGACAGTCCCAACTGTAGGAGCTCTGTGGACAACGGTCCTGGCCTACACCATGCTTTCTTCCACTTGCTGATTCAAAATATAAAGTGAGATTTGGGATTTTCACACTATCCATCTTCCCCTAAATAACAGTGATTGATAGGACAGAACATACAGCAAATTGAAAACCTGCTTCAGAAACCCGCCTGGACAACACAGAAAGTGGGCTAATGCATAGCTAAGTGGGAGAAGATGAAAAGACTTGGCGATTAGTGCTTCTCCAAGAAATTAATAAATTTTCATTGAGCAAATGTCTCCAGTTGTACATTCAGAGTGGCTTTTGCTTCCTCAGAAGCTTTGTAATGTTAGCAATCTGATGAGAGCCAAAACCGTTCTTACCTCATGTGCTTGTCAAGTTCACTTCAGCATGTATTGAGTGCCTGTTATGTGAAAGGCACTTTTAGAGATGCAAAACTGAATAATAGAGTATAGATACACAAGTACCTGTCCTAGAAGCCAGGCTGAGGAAGTGGTGCACTATGAATACAATGGGAGAGAGACACTTGCTGAAAGGCAAGAGGAATAAGGTGGATCCTGAAAAGCCTTTAAGACTTCCATTTACAAGACCTTGGAGAGAGACCTACGGTGCCATCACAGGGTGAGCGGCAATGCTAGGCTGCATGGAAAGGGCACAGACTGAATTTAAGAGTTTCTGGGTGTTTAGCTTCATTGTAACTGAAGCATGCAGAGTATTGTGAAGGATGAGAAGTCATGGCAAATGGACTAGGAAGGCATCCCACTGCATTCGAGGTTGCTGCAACACTGGGCACTTGGTTAAGGAAAGCCATAGTCAGGTGTCACCCCTTAAATTTTTACCAGTTGAAATCAATAATGGGCTTTATTCATCTTTTTAGCTCTGCCCTGCATATTGGAAATTCTCAGAAATGTCTGTTAAATGAATGAGTGAAATTAGAGGACAGAAGTACCTTGCGGATGCCTGGATTAGAAGGGCACCTGTGTGTAAGATGAGTGAGCGCGGGACCTACTGAGAAGCCTTTGCCATAATCTTGGCAGTGATCAGGCAAGTCTGCTCTAGAGCCATAGACCCCAGAAGAGGGATTTTTCTTGGGGAGGAGTCACCAAATCGCCAGCGATACCTGCGACCGGATGAGAGGGCTGCCGGAGAAGCAAAGGGGCCGTCAAAATGGTCAGGGGGCTTAGGGCCAGAGCGACCAGGAAGATGAACCAGGCCTTGGATTTCAGACGTGAAGTTTTTTACACTCAAGTAGGGAAGAGTCGATGGAACAACGAGCATTTCTACTTCTATCTCTACTTCATGCTTTATGCTGCAATGAATTCCAAACGGTTCAAAAACCTACACACAGATTATGAAGCAGTATGTAACCGGGAAAATCATGGGAGAATGTTTTTGTAAAATTGTGGCTGTATTAAATGGTGATACTAAAGACAAAAGCACTGAAATACACAAAATTAAAATCTATACAAAAAAAGACTATCACCATAAATAAGGCTTACTAACAAAAGAAAAAACTGGATAAAGTATTCATAACATTATCAATAAGAAATAAGATTAATATTTGTGTTGTACTAAATGTCTTTCTATACCAATCAGCGAGAAATGCATTCCAGTAGAATAAAGGTAAAGAAATGAACTGGCAGCTAAAAAATACATA